CTACTCTTCTCTTAAGGAGGAGAACTTTCCAAACCTGAGGAGACATGCTCAGAAGATGTTGGTTCTCTTCAGCTCTACCTACATTTGTGAACAAACATTTTCAATGATGTTGTTTACAAAATCCAGGTAAAGATCCTCTCTCACTGATGATCATTTGTCAGCTGTGCTTCGCATCTCCACCTCAGACATTCAACCTGACTTTGATGCACTCGTTAAAGCCCAGCAGAGACTAGATTTCTCTCACTGAATAAGAAAAAAATTGCTTAAAAACACAAAATAAGGTGTTTGGACCACAAATGTAGGCAACTAGCAGTGAACTGGGACACTTTTTTTTAAACCTCTTTCTCAAGATCACAGTTCAGTGATTTTATTTTACAGACAATACTGTGTGTCTGTAGAATGCTAAGAACCTCTTTCCAACAATATTTGAAACTCAGAATGTGTTTTGGAGTGAATGTGACTGAAACTGTTAACTAATATAAGTCACAAATGTTTAACAAAAACCAAATGTGCGCACTTTGTTTACCATTGCCTTGGGAAATTTGAATAAATCACATTTTGTAAGCTAACCTCACTTTTTCCTTTTTGCTCATTTATAACATATAGTCTACTCTTACCAGCTTGAAAAAACAATGGTATTTACTGCTTTTTATAAAGAAATACCATTAATATTATGCATAATTGACTTCAGCCTTTTGGCCTGGCCCTCCACAATATTTTCTATTTCTCATGTGGCCCCATGGAAAAAATAATTGCCCACCCCTGGTCTAGACCCCCAAGGGGCCCCACTCACACCCACCAGTAGTCCACCCCCCGAGGCAACCCAAGCACCTCCAGAGGGGGGCAACGGCCCCCCAGTCCCAGACACCCCCCAGTGAACCCTCCTCCAGGGAACATCCGGATACTCCAAACTCAGACCCTCCACCCCCCCACCCACATCATCCCGCAGGACAATATCAACGGTCCACCATCATCGCTATGTGATGGAACCGATCAAAGGAGAGAGATTCCTCTAAACATGAGCAAGGACTGAGGTAAAAGACACACACACACACACACACACACACACACAGACACACACACACACACACACACACACACACACACACACACACACACACACACACACACACACACCAGATTTTTCTCATTTATTTTTGATGACAGAATTAAAAATCTATTCTCTAAATGATAAAATCAGACCTGATGCAAGACAAGTTTTACTTTCTTCTCTGCCAAACCTTAGAGTTAAAAGTATTTACAGTAGTACTAGAGTACTAGGGTTGCAGTACCACATGGCTTGCTATTATTATTTGTAGAATGAAGACACATAGATGCTATTATTAGCTAATTCTGCTACAGGCTGCTGCAAAATCCATAACTAGAAAACAATCTTAACCTCTGCAGGTTTCACACATCCCAGATGTTTCTCTCTAGGCCTCGTTACATGTCTGGTGTGTTTAAATATCTGCTGTTTGTGTAGAAATGAGCCTCCGGAGGGCTACACATCGCCTGCGTCCTCTATCAGAAACCTTCTAATCCGCTGCCATCTAACACAAACACAAGGCATCACCCTGCCTTCTTCATATCTTTTTCTGTCATCACTTCTTTCTTCTCCTCCCTCCATGCTGGAAACCATGTGAAAATTCCAACAGAGGGCCGCGAGACTCGCCTCGTATCTAAACCGCTCATCGTTCTTATCGCCTGGGAATCTCTTTGTCTTCTGAAACACAGAGCACAACTTGTTCAGCATGAAAATGTCCCAGAGACAGAAACGGCTACAGGTGAAGAAAACCTCCTGAAGCTGAGATGTTTGCTTTCTCATATGTCCACCGCCAGCTCAGATGTGGAAGGACTAATGAGGACAGGCAGCTGTGAAGCTGCCCCACGCTGAGACATAAAAACAAACATCTAAACATGTCAGCGCTGCAGCGTGGAGCCGGGGTTTAGACAAAGGTGTATCTTTGTTTTATAACGACAGAAATCAAGTCAAGTTTCTTTCCCTCTCGTGTTTGATTTTGCTTTCCTGATGTTTTAATCTTGTAGCTCATTATAACAGGTGTCCAAAATGTCTCACAGGTATTGGCCTTCTGAAGGGCCTGAAGTCAGGTGAAGGTGCAGCTGCAGAGACAGGTGAGTCCTGGGAGGCAGGCCTAAATTAAAGGTCCCAACAACAAGGAATCAGAGGTATTACACCTATAGGCCTCAAACAGCAGCTACCTCAGAGTCAGAACACAACCTTCTGGTAGCCCCGCCCCCTGGCAGTCGGACCAATCAGCTGATTCATCACCCGGTTTGTAGTCTTCTCTGGTTGGGATGGTAGGGGCAAAACTACAGGTGTGAAAACAGGTAAGGGTTTGTAATCCTGTAATTACAGGATTTATAGTAAAACCTTGTTTGTCTACAGATTTACAAAAAAATGAAATAAAACTTATGAAAACATGTTTAAGCAGCTGATTCTCCCAGTGGGTCTGAACCCAAAACCTTGTTTCCATGACATTTTCTGGGTGTGCGTAGCTGATAACATTGCAGTTGCCGTGGAAACCTGAATATGCTATTGGAAGATAAAGAGTTAATTACTGTTTTTTCTGTCTTTTCATGTTGGTTTTCTAACCATATTAAAGCTCAAAGCTGAGGAAGGTTGTCTTATTAGTGACGAGCCACAGTGACACGTTTCAACCTCTCTAGGACCTTTACCCCAACATTTCACGAGGAAGTAAAAGAAATGAATGACTTTTATTCTGCAGCTGTGTGGTTTTCTGTCGTTTCTCCCAGAATGCTGTAGAAGTACAGGACAGTTGCTTTCTCACCTTAGCTGGAACCTTCCACACCTTCTTTTCTAGAAGATGATTCAGGACCACTGATCAAGCAAGCTCAGAGCTACAGAAGTCACGGAGACAGAACACTCAAATAAACACCTCACCTTTACCTGAAGATGTAAAGATGATGTCCAAACCAGAAGAAGTTATCTGGATACTTAGTGACTCTGGCTGGGCTGATATACCACACCTCCCAGCTCCAGCTGGAGCCACACAAGCTAACATTAACATTATGGGATGTTGGAATGATGGCACAAAGCCTAAATTATTGTAAAGATCCCGAACAAATTCGGCCCAAAATTGCAGCAAATCTTGATTTGTGTATTTTAGATTAAACTGAACATTCAAAGGAGCTGAAAGCCCTACAGGCTGGAAAACCACAGCTTTAAGGGCTGATTCCTCCTAATTTTATAATTCTTTAGCCATTCACAGCAGATGCGTGAATCATGTGATCTGATGCAGTATCCTGTAAAGATGATGTTCTTGTCCTGATTTAACACAAATCACTCATTTTACTTCTCTTGCATCTTCATGTTTGTTTGTTCTCCACTTAAGAAGAGTGGATTTCCTTTTCTGCGTTTATGTTCTACTTGAAGTTTAAATATCTCAGGATCAAGTTTATGAGTGAAGGAAGCAACAGGAGGTGGATGTGTGGGGACCAGAGGCTAAACTGTCTCACTCAACTCAAATAATCAGAAGATAACATCAGATGAAGCATTTGCTGTTTACTGCCCTCAGAGTCAAGTGATTGGCCCAAACAAATCATCACTGCCTAAGTTTCCACAGGTGACCCGTTTGGCAGAAACAACAACTCACATAAACCAATTTCCTCCTATGGGGGAACCGCCCTGGGCCCTTGTGGCTCTAAAATCCAAACGCACCTCATGTGTCTCAAAGTCTGCTGGTGCATGAACCAATGTGGAGGTCTGCAGCAGATCCATGCTGGAGCTTTGCATCAGTACAAAAAATACCAACATGCAGCTGACAGCATGGGGGGGGGGGGGGGGGGGGGGGATGAAGACAGATGATGAGGCTGCATTGCTGTAAATGAGTGAGTCAGCCTCGTTTTCCACAGGCGAGCCGGAGGGAGGCAGATGGGGGAGGAGCTGGCGGGACAGGAGGAGGATGGCTGGGAACTGTCCTTGGTGCTGAACTCTGGACCGATTGCTTTCCAACGAGTTCAACACTCCGAGCCTGACCCACCTCTAGATCAGCTGATTTAGCCACAGCTCAGCTTTTTACACTGATTCTGTCCCAAGTTAATCATTTATTCACAAAGTCAGAGCCTTTTGGGTGGAATTAAAATAATCTCTAAGTCTTCTCTCATTCACAAACCCACATCTGCACAAACATTAGTCCCAAAAGAAAAACAATCTGGATAAAGGGGAACATCATAAAACTAATTCCATCTTCTGTCAGCCACAACATGCATCCATTTAACTCCTGACCTGCACTGGAGGAAGCCCGGACGCTGCTGGGTGGAAAGACATTAAACATTTGGACGAAAGGCAGGAGGTCTGACTTTGCTCAAATCTACTTTCCAACTAGAGTTTCCTTAAAGTTCCAGATGAGGAGTTCTTCTGGAGCTTTGCTGCAGGAGTCAGTTTGGTAAATGCTCAACCTGAACGCAGACAGCACTGGCAGCTCGGTGTGACACGGACAGATTATGCAACAGGTTCAGCACTTGCAGAAGCCGCCTGCAGCTGCAGAGATGTTTCAGATGAGAAGGTGGGACCCGGAGGAGAATGATGATGTCACGAGTGTGTAAATAAAGGCCTTTTCTCAGGCACTGCAGAGACCAGGCGGGTGTGGTGACTGCATCAGCAGACGCGCCAGCGCGCACCGTCATGTGGACATTCTCGTCACGCTGTCCACCATCGCTATGACAACCTCCACTTGTCGGACGTGTCTGGAACTTTAAATCATTTTTCATCCTGTATCAGATTTGCTTTCCTGTCTGATTCGGGTTGAGGCAGCGTCCTGACCCCCTCCCCCATGACTGAAAAACACATGAACAATGACAACCGCCCCCCCACCCCACCCCGCATTTATCGTGCTGCTGTGCCTCCACTCTTCCCGCTCCTATGCGGCTTTTCTCTGAGCCACAGTCGGAACCAAACAGCGGCTTGATGAAAGACGCACACCGACAACCACAACAGCTCATGCTCCACCAGAACTGACCTCCCAGTCTAACGAATCCCACTCCTCGGTAAACATCCGGAGGATTTCTCTTCATCCACAGAACGCGGAGCAGGCGCAGCGGCTCTAAGGTGCGAGCAGGCGGTGTGGTGCCATTGCGCTTTTGGTGCTTTTTATCCTCATCAAATCGGTTCGAACGCAGGCGCCTCGTCGGAGGAAAAGCATCTCTGCAGAAACCAACTTGACTGACACAGAATGGGCGACGCTTAGCTTCCAGTCCAGCATTTTTCTTTTCTCTGTCTTGTTTCTGCTCAGCGATGGTTGCAACCAATTAGCAGCACTTGAGCTCAGAGGCGAACAGCTCCTGACAGGGCGCTCCTTCTCGTGAGCATCCGTTGCGTTTGGAAAAAGGGCTGCAGACTGTTACACGCAAGCAACTTCTCCTTCCCAGAGCCTAGCGCGGAGAATATTCCAGAGCTCTAATAGAAATCTTCACAGTGCACGGAGAATCCTTCCCTCTGCTGAAGAGCAACAATAAAGCAAAGCCTTTAAAGGTCCCTGCATGATGTGCCTCCTAAAACACGTGACACGGTCAGTTCCACGGTTGGAAAAAAGGCTGCATTTGATCCACAACAGGCCTTAAGCGGTAGGGTTTCTGTAGGGGTCATGAAGAAATTAAATACCACGCAGACTACTCACCATCAGCACGGCAAAGTTACTGAGATGGGTGCAAAGAATGGAGGTGGCGTTGCCCCCGGAGCTGGTTATGTGGCAACCCTCTGCCCTCCAGCCACCGTGTCCATCCAGCAGGTCAAAATCCCAGAAGGCTGCGGTGGGGTCTACACCCAGCGCGAAGTGCCTCAGAGCAACAGAAATGCTGCTCCTGCGGCTGCAGCCATCTGCAAGAACAGCAACACATTCAGCATGGGAAAGTCTGACAGGCGCAAAAAGCATGAGCGCACAAACTGCATTCACGCAAAAGACAAGCGGTGCTGCAGCTGTTTGCAACTTTCAGAATAAAAGCAGCTCCGATCGGATCTGGTGTCACATGTCAACGTGTTGCGTAGAACCAACAGCTGGACTCTGGTTCCGCATTTCAGAGCAGCCTTGATGATGATGATGAGGATAAGGACGAGGATGATGATACAATGGATTTCCTCTTACCTAATTTGGCGAAAGCAACTGGTGTTGAAACGCTCCTGCGCTTCCCATCATCCGCGAGCTTTGACGAATTCCCGGTGCATGGGAAGAGTTTCCCATCGCGGAAGGCGACGAGCTGCAGCCTGCAAGTGGAGTTATCAACAGATGGCAACGCAGACGTGGAGATAGGCGGTTCAGCCAGCGGGAAGCGGATGGAGGCGACGGCCACGGAGTTCTGCGGATCAAACAAATAAATAAATTAAAAAGTCAATAATTTCTATAAATGAATCAGATGTGAAAACGAGGGTTCTGCTAAAAACTCATCAAAGCACTAATTGCTTGTTGTGACTGAAGTGGAGTCGACCAAATTTCACAAGTAAACGGAATGAGTCTAGTTGGAAGCGCGTCAGTGCGCCTTTCAGGTCGGGTCCCTGCCGCAGAGGTGGAATGGTTCTTACCATTTCAGCTCCAGGGCACCTCAACACTGCAGTTTGATTTAAAGAGACAACCAGTCCGACTTTAGCCTCCCGTCAGCACTAACCACCGCCACGAGCCACCGGAAACAGCCCTGATGTGAAGATGGTTTAAGAGGCTTTCAGCACACCCACCATCATTCTGGGCAAACTTTATTGTTGTAGCTGCAACAAATACACAAGTAAACAAACAAGCAAATAAATAAATACCTCCCCCATGGAGGACCCCCCCCCCCCCCACACACACACACACACACACACACTGCCCAGCCAATAAAAAGGTCACTCTCTCATATCTGATTGGACCTCGTTGAACTTTGACTAAGCTTCACCAGATTTATCTCCATCCAGTGTTGCATTAATGTCTCACCAAGATCTTGCATTGATGATGGTAGTCTGACTGTTGCACAAAGCCTTCTCCGGGACATCCCAGAGACGGGCTTAAGGTCTGGACTCTGTGGTGGCCAACCCATGTGCGAATAATGTCTCATGCTCCCTGAACCACTATTTCACTATCTGAGCCTGATGAATCCAGACATTGTCATCTTGGAATATGGCTGTGCCATCAGGGAAGATGGAGTAACTTGGTCATTCAGGATATTCAGGCAGTCAGCTGACTTCATTCTTGGAGCACATCCTTTTGCTGAACCTAGACCTGACTACCAGCAGCAAGCCCAGATCATAGCACTGTCCTCACAGGCTTGTACAGTAGGCACTAGGCATGATGGGTGCATCACTTCATCTGCCTCTCTTCTTACCCTGATGCACCATCACTCTGGACCAGGGTCCATCTGGACTCATCAGACCAGTTTTAATGATGCGTTGGACAGTTCTGAACCCAGTTTCTGCACCTCCTTAGATGTTTTCTCTGCTTGATGCCAAATGTCTGACCCTTCTCATACACACTAACATATTTTCCACCACCAGATGTGTCTTTCCACATGATAAATGTTAAATGACCCGCACTTACATAGCACCTTTCAGACTCAGAGGACTCCAAAGCACTTTACACTACAGCAATCATTCATCCATTCACACACTGATGGTGATGAGGTACGGTGTAGCCACAGCTGCCCTGGGGCGCCCTGACAGAGGTGAGGTTGCCGAGCTCAGGCACCACCGGTCCCTCAAACCAGCACCAGCAGGCTAGGTGGGTTAAGTGTCTTTGATGACATGTGAGGATAACACCCGTACAACGTGTTTAAGCTTTGTTGGCTGCCTGACAGTAACTCAGCAGATTTGAGCCATCTGGACCTTCAGAGACCTGCTGTGGAGTCGGGTTCATCTGAGCTAAACTCTGGCTTGTTTGAACAGATCTGAGTCCAACGCATCTTGCTGGCAGTTTAAAACTGATCCAATCTCTCACAGTGCAGTTTTATATTGCAAGGCTATTTCTGCAATACAGTTTGAAGTTCTGTCAGACTGGGTTCTGGATGCAAAGAAAGGAGTGAAAGTTTAGTTTCAAACTGCTGAAATCAGTTACATCCTGGCTGGGCTGAGCAGCCATTATCTCCTCAGCCCTGTAGTACTGTACAAACTCTATTATTTATGACATTTACAAAAAAACACACCTCAGAGAGCCAGATAAATCATTTCCCTGTGACGGAAATCGATGCCTGTTAAATGTCCTCACGGTTAATGAGAAACCAGCACATCGGATGTTCAGCAGGTTGGACAAATATCTGGACTCAGTGAATCAAAACTCCTTTTTAAAACTAGCAGTCAGTCCATTGTGTGTGTGTGTGTGTGTGTGTGTGTGTGTGACTGTGAAGGCATCCTCACTCTACGATTTTATTGCATCATCTCGTCTACCTTGTCTGTGTTTTGTCTGAAGGTGACGAGATGAAAACATGAACTACAAATTTGAGGTCAGTCAACAACTAGAGAGACTTGTGCTTCAGCAGGTCTCTTCTGCAAACATGGACGGTCCCCCTCCCCCCGCCCCGCGTAGAGGGATCTACACCCAGAGGGCCGAGGTTCCTCCTGATCAAACCCAACATCACCTAGGACCGCTCACATCACACTTCAGTTAGCCGCTTGTGCCTAAACCACGTGACCTTTCTCCAGGCCCCTCCCTTTTTGCTGAACTACATGCCGTTGCCACAGTAACCACAATCACAAACTCAGCTTGGCCTGCCACCCTCACCTCACTCTACTTCCTCTCCCTAGCTTTTCCTACCTCACAGAGGGCATCAGGGTGATGTCAGCAGGAACGTTCGGTGTCAGGATGGTCCCGCGTGTCCACCTGCCTCTCCGTACTCCACAGAGCTGGTAACACAGCAGGAATCCGACCTGCTGCAGCCACCAGCTCACTAGAAACGGCTCATGTTCATGACAGGAGGAGTGTTGTTCTGGTCTGCTGTGCTGAACAAGGAGCTAGAACTCCTCATCAAGGCTCTCATGCACTGGTCTTCCTACAGTCCGGTCTTCTCCTGTACGGTCATGGAGTCTGGATGGTGACTCAAAGGACAAGATCCTAAAAACTAACCTCCAAAAAGAGCTTTGTCCACAAAGCGATTGGGGAAGAAGTTCCAACTGCTGCTCATCAGATCTGAACAGTATGTTGAGTCATGCCCTCTGATGTTTACCGTTCTGAAGCACGGCTGCCTGATAGAAACGCAGTCATAGTAAGAATGCTCTCTTCAGCAGGTGGGCCTTTCACACACCCCAGTAGAGTCTCCTTAGCTACTCCTGAAACATTTGGTGTACTGCAGCTTGTTTCGTGGTCTTAGGAGCAGACAATGGACTGTTGCATCATCACTGTTGGTCACATGGGAGGTACAGGTGAAACTGGAGCAACGGTGCAAAGGTTCATTTGTGTCTGCAATACAACCTAAAAGGTGAAACTAACCAATGAGACAGACTCATGTAGGCGTACAGCTGATGAAAACCCCACATTCAGAATCACAGACACTCGTGGATCAGCTGATGAATCCAGAACACCTGCAGAGTATTCCTGTGCCTTTAGATGGTCTCTCAGTCTGAGTTTACCTTGTAGGAATCAAATTGAAAGTTGTCTGAATTTTATCTCAATGTTGATTTTTTCCTATTTTTTTTTCCAACTTAGTCCTGGTTCAGTTCCAAACTTGTTGCACAAAAGACTAAACAAAAATAAGTGAGACGAAACCGGATTGTCATGGTTTTTTCTCTATTTAGATATTTGACCCACATACAAGATGACTCTCAAGAGACCAGGAGATGTAGTAAAAAATAGTTTATTAGAGGAGAGCGGAGGCTGGCGGGGATGGGCTGGTTCCGGAGCTAGAGATTGGATCACTGGAAGAAATAACACATGAAATGATGATCGGGACGGGGAGATATTTATATAGATAGTGGGGAGAGTTCTTACTGAGATTTGGTTGTAGCGGAGCGTGGGAGAGGTGAGCCGGTACCGGGGCTGAGGGTAGATGTGGAGGTTCGGAGCAGTGAGGTGGGTTGTTGGAGGGTGAACAGGAGACGCACGGGAGGAGAACAGAGCCAGGGAGGATTCAGCTGTGGTTCAGGAGATCCGGGAGCTGCAGAGGCTGGTATGAGACTTCCACATAAAGGTGTAATCCAGAACGGGTTCTAGGAATCCACTAAGGCAAACAAGCTGGCGCTGAGTGGCTGGTTCACTGGCTCCTTTATTCCTCCCGTCTAATTACATGATGGGCTGCAGGTGAGCAGAGTGACTCTGCAGCCGAGGTAATTAGCTGGATGGAGTCTCCTTAAGAGTCTCCCTAGCCCTCCAACAACCTGTGAAGAAGAAATATGAACCCAGAAACCCAGTACCTGACACGGATGGCTCAGAGGAATTGTGTTGCACCAAGGCTTCAAGCACCTTTCTGCTCTGGGATGGGGCTCAAATCCCAGTGGGGTCATAGCACAGACTGTGAAAACGGTACCCGATGCCTCCATGCTGACACTCAACTTTGGATTGAAGGGTTGAACCACCAAATGGTTCCTGAGCGCAGCCGCAGCTGCAGCTCAACGCTCCCCACGCGGATGGGTCGGATGCAGAGATGAGTCTCACCTGTGTGTGAGGACGAATGGGACTTCGACTTTATTTTGGAACCTGCCTTGTGGCAGCCCGGTGAGCTCCTAGCTTAGCGTGAGCGCCCATCTCTCCTGGCTCAGATCAGTCAGACTTCCAGCTGCAGAAGGAAAGATTCTGCCTGCTGATATCAACTAACAGAATCCCAATCCTTCTCTTGAAAGTAAAGCGGGAATAGACTCAGCCCAAAGAGCTGCGTTGTTACTGAAACACACTCCTCTTTGGCGTTGTGTTAACACACACCCGTATGCTCCACAGAGCTTCTTAAGGAGCTTCTCCACATGGCAGCTCTATTAGCAGCACTCTGCATCTTCTCACTCTCTTAATTCTGATGGAAGCATTAATGGTGTGTCAATTTCTCCACACTGCTTCAGTTTATGATAAATGCATATTGACACGTGGTCCAAGGTCATGCAGTCTTTCTTCTGGAGACACATTTCCTAATTTAAAAATCTGGTCAGCTGGTTAGTAGGACTCTAACCTCTGCAACAGGATGTTCTTTTGGTCCATGGCTATAGGAATAAAGTGAATTTAACTCAAAGGACGGCTCGCTCTGTTGTCTTCGAGCCAAGAGGAACTGCTGACAAGCACATTGGGAGATTTGCATAATTTCTTTTGTAATCTCTGGCTCTTCTGTCAGTGCAGACGTGGTCAAAGACACAATGACAGAAAGACATCGGAGGCTTCAGGGGCGTGTTTTACCCTTGATGTTTCACATTCTGTTTGTTCACGGGCAGAATGTTGCTAACTCCACTTAGCAAGCTTCTGCCTGGGTTAAAACCCATTTTCCTGTAGCATAAAAATAAAAACATAAACAAGAGAGGAGTGAGTCTACAGAAGTGATAGCCATGGTTGCATCTTAAGGGGTGTACTCCTGTTGGGGATTTCTATGGTTTTATCCTTGTTGTCAACACTTAGAAAGAGAAATTAAGCACATCTCTCCATGGTTGCCATGCCAACAGGATTCTGTTTTCTCTAGGGGAGGGGAGGAGGGAATTGCATGCAGGAAAGGAGAGTTTGAGCTCTGTGCCAGACGTCAGCTCTGAGTCAAGATGGCACATCCTAGGAGCTGCAGCTGTAGGAAGACATTCATCAGATAGAAGCGTCCCGTCGATAATCAGCTATAAATATATAAATGTGTTTTA